AACAAATATTCAAAAATATGGAGCGAAAGGCAGGAAACTCGCAAGGACACCAGTTTTCATCAATTCGATCGTTGAGTATAGTGCGCATGGAAACCCAATGGAATCCGCGACTGAGGAACCATAAAACGAGCCTGCTCCTCCATGGTTTCAGCGTCAAGCACCACAACATACGGTGTGTCGCCTTCTCGACACGTGACCACCGGCACAATCAGTACTCCTTCAATGGTTGCATTATTTAACAACAACAAAATAAAATTGTTCTCAAATCTCGTGGTAATCAAAAACTGTCACCTGAGAACAGTGAGTGAAGCAACCATGGACGCAGTAAAGAAAAAAAATGTTGAGCACGTGTGGAAGGATAGGTGGACAAGACAATCGTGGTAGGTCGCGTCGTCGCGCGCGGCGTGTCGTTCGGCAAATCCTCGGTATCTACCACATCATCGATCGGAGCAGCGAAACTCATACGAGATACCGAGTTATTTTTTTCGCCCCTTCAGCACTCACTTTGGAACGATCATGCAGGACAACTCGTCCGGTCCGGATAATCGTAATAAGCCGCGCTGATGGGCGCGGCGTCGCTCGCCACGCCCATCAGCGCGGCTTATTACGATTATCTTGCTCCGCACCAGTGTAGCAGGTGTTCTTAACGCATAGAAACCTGCGTGTCTAGATGAGAGTTAAAGGAATACTTGAACGAGCCGTGCCAAAATATGTGCGCGACGGGTTTTTGTAGCATGCAGTACATAACGGAGCGGTAAGTGAAGGCGTTCCTCCGCACGTACGTTTTGATGCGGCGTCAGCCCGATTTCTACGATTCAATGCCAGCTTGCCAGCTTGGGGGAGATAGCGATTGATGGAGATAGGCTGGTGCAGCGCTAAGAGCGCGTAGCTTTTGTTTTGTTCAAAACAGCTGTATTCGAGGAGACTGCTTCGCAATCACGCATAGTGTCCACAAATTTCAACAGTGAATCCGCCCTTGGTCTCAGTTCCATGAGGAAGTGAGCAGATTCCTATGGCATATTCAAGACCCGTCGGTATACCGTGGTGGGTGCCATGGAAGGCGAAAAAGAGAGCGCTCCATTAACGTCGATTCTGGGCCCCGCCCACTTGGCAATCCCTGCGCTATTTTCGGAGGGTCCAACATTTCTTGCATTCTTCTGTTCAGAAAAGCAACGGACCTTCATCCTCTTTGGAATAGTCGGGTTTGTTCACTAGAATCGGCTCTCCGCATAAGTGGTCTTCAGCGTCTTTGCACCATAATTTCGAAGTTCCATCTTTCAGATCAACTTTAACCACCTGGAAATGAATGTCCGTAGTCCTCTAATGGAATACAAAGAAAACAAAAAAAACTCAATAAGACGATATGAATAATAAATAAAAAAGCAGTATTGACGTAGTAAAGTAGCTTCTCTCTTCATAAACCTCGGCATTATTGTGAACTTTTTTTTTGATATGTTTTGCCAAAGAGCTTGTTAGATGGAAGAGATGGAAGAATTTATTGAAAATAACCTGACGTTTCGACAGGATTAATCCTCAGAGGCCACTCTACCACAGTAATTCTTGCTAACTACCAGTGAGAGCATGTGGCATCGTCCCTCTCATGTGGTCCCACTTTCAATAAAAGCGTTCCAAAAACGTCACATGTCATTGTTGTGAGCAAAACACCATTGCAACATGTCGCTGGGACAAAAGAGTGGAAATTAGCACAGTATTCGCTAGCTAGCTGGCTCGACATCCTGCAGCACGTCTGCGTCCAAGGACAGAAGTTCTGACGCGAATACGATTTTACACCAGCTGCATGCCGCCGCGACACGGATTTCCTGACCCACACACCTCTTGCTGCTACTCCACACCGTGTGCGGTTGTGTAGTAGCGACTTTCCTGCGTAAATAAGTGCGCGACTGCAAATCTTTTGAACTTAGGTTCGGAATGGAACAATTATAAATGCAATAAGAATAAAAATTAACTCACTCCATTTTTCTCGCTCTCTTCGTGAATAAGACAGGAACCATACACGTATCGATAGTCGCGCATATTGAGGTCATAGCAGTAGCGAGGGAATTCTAAGGCTGAAAATAGACCGTATAATATGTTTTACTGTCGTAACTACTAATTAATTTTACATTCTGTGGAACATAGAAAACGTACATATATCACTTAATTTC